ACTTAGCCAACAAAGTAATGTCATTGATGTGAATGAAGGAGTGATCATGGGGGCACATAGATGAAGTGTGTAAGGGTAATTTAGGCAATCTTGCAGAGGAACCAATTTGTGAAGATATTGATGGACAACAAAGTGTAAGACTCGATGAATTTGAAGCATTTGCAGATGATTATTCAACTTATGAGGTTTTTAAACCACGGGGACTAAACATCAGATTTTGGGAAACCACATGGACCATTTATGATGTTTTTTCTTTTGTTTATAATATTGCATATATTAGTAATTTTTCTTCTGTAAATGCTTATATAAATTTGTAACTTTGACTTGTCTTTTTATATTAAAGCGCCCTTCTGTAAAAATAATCAAACTAAATTTTGTAATTTAAGCTTCCCTGTAGGAATATAGTGATTGAATGAGTATAAACTGATTATCTTTTTTTTTTCAATTGCAGGTGAATAATAACTTCCTTTCGGTTGGCAATGCAAACAGAGAAATTTTGGTAATAAAAACTTCACTTGCTAATGTGGCTTTTCTAATTTTATTTTTTCTCTGTTATTAATATTTCTAAGAAAAAAATCACACAAATAAACTGAAAGCCTAAGTGAGGGACTATATACAGTTACTGTATATAGTTACTGTTGTACATTCTAAAAAAATCACACAAATAAAAGTTGTCTCATCATCAATTCTTTTCTTTTTGTCAAATTCTGTTTTATTTTGTACATTTTAAAGTTTCATTTTTTTTATATAATTATTGTCTCAGGTATTCATTTTTAGCACAGGAAGATTTACAGATAAAATAGTTGTGGACAGCAAGGTCAATTTATTTTTTGTATTTGAGAAAACTGGTAAAGTAAACAAAAAATAGAAGCTGAATGTAAATTCTATACAATATCTATAGAGATGACATTTCGTTGCTATAGGTCTAGCTATGGGGACGACATGTCGTGTCTATAGGTCTAGCTATGGGGGCGACATGTCGTCTCTATAGGTCCAACAATAGGATGACAACTAGGAACCATCAAAAACGATATGTCGTCTCTAAAAGGTATCTATGGCGACGATATCTATAGCGACGACCCAAGCTATCTATTGCGACGGGGCTATAGCGACAAAGGCTATAGGGACGACTTGTCGTCATAACCACCTATAGAGACGACTTTCTATAACCTATAGAGACGAAATTTGTCGTCCCTATAGGTCTCGTTTCTTGTAGTGCCGGTACCCGTTCATGTTCAACCCTTATTGAGGGAATTTTCTGATGTTATACCGGATGATATTCCACCTAGATTACCTATGGTGCGGGATATTCAGCATTACATCGACTTTATTCCAGGTTCAACAATCCCTAACAAGCCTGCATATCGAATGAATCCTCGGGAGTATGAGGAATTGCATAGGCGGGTGACAGAATTATTGGACAAAGGGCTCATTAGAGAAAGTATGACCTCGTGTGCAGTGCCTGCGTTATTGGTTCCTAAGCATGGCGGCGCATTTCGTATGTGCATTGATAGTCGAGCTGTTAACAAGATCACTATCAAGTACCTTTTTTCCTATTCCACGTTTTGATGACTTACTTGATCAATTATATGGCGCAATATTTATCTCGAAAATTGACTTAAGAAGTGGGTATCATGAGATTCTGGATGAGACCTGGGGACGAGTGGAAAACCGCATTCAAGACACGAGACGGACTGTACGAGTGGATGGTCATGCCTTTCGGCCTCTCTAATGCGCCGAGTACATTCATGAGACTCATGAATCATATTTTTAAACCTTATATTGGTCATTTTGTCGTTGTGTACTTTGATGATATTTTGGTCTTTAGCAAAACTATGGAGCAACACTTATCTCACCTTTGTCAAGTTTTTTTCTGTCCTGCGTGAACATAAATTATATGCTAATGGTAAGAAGTATCATTTTCTTGTTCATGAAGTGACTTTCTTAGGATATAACGTTTCTGGTAATGGGATCAAGATGGATGATTCTAAGATCCACTACGATTCATGTGATCCGAAGTTTTCATGTGTTGGCTTCCTTTTAACGTCGTTTCATCAAGAATTTTAGCACTATCATAGCTCCTGTCACCGAATGTATGAAAGGAGGACGTTTTTCGTAGACGGATGAAGCAACCACGACTTTTGAACTACTGAAACTTAAGGTAACACAGGCTACTGTTTTATCTTTACTTAATTTTAGTGAAGTTTTTCAGGTTGAATGTGATGCCTCGGGTGTTGGTATTGGTGGTGTTTTGAGCCAGAAGTCACGGCCCGTAGCCTTCTTTAGCGAGAAGCTTAGTGATACTCGTCGCAAATACTCTACATATGATAAAGAATTTTATGCGATCGTACGAAGTTTGGATACTTGGCGACACTATTTATTACCTTCTGAGTTTGTTTTGTTTTCAGATCACGAGGATTTGAAATACATCCAGGGCCAACACAAGCTTAATCCACGACATGCCAAGTGGATCGAATTGCTCCAAGCTTTTTCCTTTGTGATCAAACACAAAGCAGGAACACAGAATAAAGTTTCTGACGCACTTAGTCGACGACATTCGTTGGTTACTACTATGCAGGTACGCGTTCAAGGTTTTGATACCTTCCGAGACCTGTATAGAGATGATCCTACTTTTAAGGATGTGTGGCGTAAATGTACCAAGAAACCATTCTAGCAGTTTTCAATGCAGTACAGTTATTTACTTAGAGGGGCTCGATTATGTATTCCACTTAGTTCCCTACGTGATGACATTATATTAGAAAGCCACGCAGGTGGTCTCGCGGGTCATTTTTGTCGTGATAAGACCTTGGCTTTCATTCATGATTAGTTTTATTGGCTTCGCATGGAGAGGGATGTTAACCATATTGTGGAGAGGTGTCGGATATGTCATATCGCTAAGACTCAGGGCAGTAATGCAGGTTTGTATACCCAATTATCAGTTCCCAACGCCCCCTGGGAAGATATTACTCTTGATTTTGTATTGGGATTACCTCGTACCCAACGTCATAAGGATTCTGTGATGGTCGTGGTTGATCGGTTTTCTAAAATGGCCCATTTTGTTCCGTGCTCCAAGACGCTTGATGCGAGTCAAGTTGCTAAGTTATCTTTTTCTGAGATTGTTAAACTTCATGGTATTCCTAAAACACTCACTTATGACCGTGATGTGAAGTTTGTTAGTCACTTTTGGCGTACTTTATGGACACGGATGGGTTCTAAGTTGCAATTCAGTAGCTCTCATCATCCGCAGACCGACGGACAGACCGATGTCACTAATCGAAGTTTGGGTAATCTCCTACGAAGCTTATGTGGTGACAGCCCAAAACAGTGGGATCTTACTCTTCCACAAGTTGAGTTTGCATTTAACAGGTCAGTTAATCGTACGACGGATAAGAGTCCCTTTGTGGTTGGGTACGGTTTCAACCCTATCACACCCCTTGATTTGGCACCTATTTGTGTGACTGAACCAACTAACGGGGAGGCTGAACAGCAGGCCACGAGTATTCAACAGTTACATCAGCAAGTTCGCGAACAGATTCTTCATCACAACAAACAATATGCTGATCGAACTAATAAACATCGCAAGCGTGTTATATATAAAGAAGGCGATCTGGTGTGGATTCATTTGCATAAAGAGAGGTTTCCAGCTGGTCGTTTTGGGAAATTAAAGCGACGGTCCTTTTTGCATGCTCAAGAAAGTTAATGAAAAAGCTTACAAAATCGAGCTGCCTGGTCACTATAATGTTTCTGCTACTTTTAACGTGGCTGACTTATCACCTTAAAAAGGTGTGGGTGACAACTATCCAGACTCGAGGTCGAGTCTTTCCAAAGAAGGGGAGGATGATGCAGTTAATGACACCAACGACATTGTTTAGGGGTCGAACACGGCCTTTTTTTATTTTATAAGTCTTATTTTGAACTTTGGGATTTGTTTTCCTTTTTGGTGATTGCTGAGTTTTCTTTCCTTTTAGGTGGTTAGACTTATAATCGGTGTTTAGGGTTTTCAGAAAACAGGGTTTTTTTGATAGATATTTTTTTTTTGATTATTCTGATCAGCTAAAGGCGATTTTCCCAGATAGGGGAGTCGGTTATTATTTGTTCTTTCTTATTGTTTGGCCATCGATCCGGCACCAGTAATTCTTGAACTTAGTGGTACTCACCTCACACCAAGTAATTCTTTGTCCAGCTATATCTGAAAAACAAAATCCAACAATTACAAAGTAAACAATCTACTATAAGGAACAAAGTTAGCAAACAGGAAAAAATAAGAAATGGATTGAGCCAATTTGTGTGTAAGCAGATGAAAAAAAGCCTTTTTTTTGTTTAATTCCTTCTTTCAAACTTTTAGGGTTCATGAAGAGGAGATGTGAAGATGGGGTCGTGTAACAGGAGGACTTATGGAGCAACGGGAAGTAGGTCATCCACCTATCTCCTCTTTTATCAGGGTGGCGGAGATAACATGCTCTTCATTCTACCGATTTCAATTTCAAGGATGACGATCATCTGTTGAACGCACAAACATAGTTAAAAAAAGGGTTAATTTCGAACCAGAATATTAAAGGGTGAAATAGACAGATTTCATTTTTAGGGACATATATAATGCATGGATGAGAAAAAGACCACATTGTAGAAATAAAAATCAAACTTGGGAAAATAAAATGTCAAAAACTAAAATTTGTGAAATCAGAAAACAAACCTGGTATGTTGATTAAGTGAGTGAAAGGAGATGGTGACGACGGTGAGGACGTTGGGCATGTCAGTTTGTGCTGTGATTTAGGGTTTCCTAGTTGGATTGATGATCCTTCATTCTATCAGTTAACAGAGCTAAAATTATGTGGTTGTACAAGTACACATTTACCAACACTTGGACAGCTACCGTCCCTTGAGAGATTGTTTGTTGAAAGGATGGATGAGGTGAAGACTTTGGGTTTTGAGTTTCTTGCACCTGATGATTCTTTCCTTGGGATTTCATTTCCATCTCTTGAAGTTCTGAAGTTTATGATATGCGAGGTTCGGAGAGATGGTCAACTAATAATGGTCAAGACAATGAAACTGGTAGATGGTTTCCTCGTCTTCGTGAGATCTCTATAGCATACTGTGGGAGACTAGAAGAAGTATCAATTGGATTGATACCATCACTTCGGGTTTTAAAGATAGAAGAATGTTCCGAAGAGGTGCTAAGAAGCATGGTTAGTGTGTCTTCATCACTTGTTGCATTGAGCCTTTCGAATGTTGAAGGACTTACTCAACTACATAGAGAAATTTTAATGCAGCTTCGGTCAGTTGAAAATCTCAACATTGAATATTGTCATGGACTTAGACACTTGTGGCCGGAGCAAGAATGGAAGACATGCAAGATTTTTCCAAGTTTACAAACGTTGGAGGTAAGTCATTGTACAGAGTTGGTGTCATTAGGAGATAAAGAGATAATTAATATGGGGAGTATGAGTATCATGGAATCAATTAAAGAAGTGATGATTGTTCCAAATTTTGTAATGGAGAGTTACACTTGTCCACGTAGTGTTGAGAGGTTACGACTCTTTCAATGTAGTTCAATGACATCCTTCACCTTCTCAACATGGCAGGAGCACCCCCACCCCACTCCAGAGAAAGGTTTTGGCTTTCTTCAATTTTTTTGTCTAAGATATCTTCAGATTGGTGATTGCAAGAATCTAAAGTCGTTTCCTCATGAGCATTTGCAAAGTCTCACATCTTTGGAAGAACTGTTTATGCGAGATTGTCCAAGTTTGGATTACTCATTTCCTTGTGGGTTGTGGCCTCCTAATTTAAGTATCCTATCTATAGGTCGCCTAAATAAACCCATGTCAGAGTGGGGCCATCAGAATTTTCCAACATCATTGGTTAAACTAAGCTTATATGGCCAAAATTCAGGAGTGGTTTCACTTGCAGTGGCAAAATATATGAGGAATACCACTGATTCATCATCTTTTCTTCTTCCACCATCTCTAGTTTCTCTAGAACTTGAAGGTTTTATGGATGTAGAATCACTTTCAGAGGTCTTACAACAGCTACCATGTCTTAAACATCTTGATATTTCATCATGCTCAAAGCTTAAAGATCTGCCTGAGACAACTTCTACCCTATAAAGGTGTGATAGTAAGAGAGGTATGTAATCTCCATGACCATCACTATCTCTTACGAAAGTACTAAAAGTATAATGACAAATATTTATTTATATAATTATAATTATTTTTTTTAACAAATATCAAGAGGGTTCTACAACTGAACTGTATTCCACTTTAAATTTTAAAGGTATTTTTATACTGAATCCGTTGGTATTCTGCTTCTGTTCTATAGTTACATGTCCTTTTATTGAACAAGCAACATAAGTTTTGAGAAACTTTGATCAGTTGTGTATGGTACGTCTATTTATAAATAATCTGTGAAAACACCTGGTATCTTTTTAGCTTTAATCTATGAAACATTTTTGCATAAAAATTCATAACCATAAGCTTGGCTAGCATATCAAATCTGTTTGACTTTTTACATCTAATTTCAGGCCATGTCATATTGGAGAAAAACCCTTAGTGCTGATTATCAACTTCTATTCCGATTAATCAATGTTTTCATAGTTGTTGCATTTGCTTCTACTCTAATCACATTGGTTTCACTTCCACACATGACAATCAAGGATATTGTCGATTGCATCCTCGCCTTCCTCCCTACTGGCTGGGGACTACTTCTGGTTAGTATTTTTGTCTTTACTGTATTTACAAAATTACCGCTCAGTGGAATTTTCTACTTGTCGCTGACGTGGCAGGTTTATTTACTTTTTAATTTGTTCCAACATTTTCAAAATACTACTTAATGAGACTCACGAAGAAGTTGTCTATGTTGATCGGGGAGAAGCATTAGTCATTCAACGAGTTTTAAATGTTGCAGTTTCTCAATCCATTGATGATAATTCCTGGCTCCGCAACAACATTTTCCGCACTAAGTGCACTTTCAAAGGTAAAGTGTGTAATATGATTATCGATGGGGGTAGTTGTGAGAACATGATTTCACTTGAAATGGTTGACAAGTTAGGCTTGAAAACGGAAGCTCATCCCGAACCGTATCAACTAACTTGGTTAAAAAAACGAAATGTTTTCAAAGTTAGTAAGCGGTGTTGGGTACAGTTTTCTATCTGAAAAAAATATACTGATGAGGTTTGGTGTGAGGTCATTCCGATGGACGCATGCCACATCCTTTTGGGCAGGCCATGGCAATTCGACCGGAAGACAAAACACGACGGATTCCGTAATACATATAGCTTCCAGAAAGATGGCGTGAATATCATGTTAGTTCCACTTGATACCAGAAAATCCCAAGAAAATAATTTTGCCCTTTATCTTAAACAGTCCGAGTTTGAAGAAGTGGCTAAATTCAGCCCGGTTGTGTTCGTTTTAGTAATCGAGGAGGCAAACGAGTTTGCACCACCGGTACCCGTTCATGTTCAACCCTTATTGAGCGAATTTTCTGATTTTATAACGGAGGATATTCCACCTGGATTACCTATGGTGCGGGATATTCAGCATTACATCGACTTTATTCCAGGTTCAACAATCCCTAACAAGCCCGCATATCGAATGAATCCTCGGGAGTATGAGGAATTGCATAGGCGGGTGACGGAATTATTGGACAAAGGGCTCATCAGAGAAAGTATGACCCCGTGTGCAGTACCTGCGTTATTGGTTCCTAAGCATGGCGGCACATTTCGTATGTGCATTGATAGTCGAGCTGTTAACAAGATCACTATCAAGTACCGATTTCCTATTCCACATTTTGATGACTTACTTGATCAATTATATGGCACAGTAGTTTTCTCGAAAATTGACTTAAGAAGTGGGTATCATGAGATTCTGGATGATACCTGGGGACGAGTGGAAAACCGCATTCAAGACACGAGACGGACTGTACGAGTGGATGGTCATGCCTTTCAGCCTCTCTAATGCGCCGAGTACATTCATGAGACTCATGAATCATATTTTTAAACCTTATATTGGTCATTTTGTCGTTGTGTACTTTGATGATATTTTGGTCTTTAGCAAAACTATGGAGCAACACTTATCTCACCTTTGTCAAGTTTTTTTCTGTCCTGTGTGAACATAAATTATATGCTAATGGTAAGAAGTGTCATTTTCTTGTTCATGAAGTGACTTTCTTAGGATATAATGTTTCTGGTAATGGGATCAAGATGGATGATTCTAAGATCGACACTATTATTAACTGGCCATCCCCCACTATGATTCATGTGATCCGAATTTTTCATGGGTTGGCTTCCTTTTAGCGTCGTTTCATCAAGTATTTTAGCACTATCATAGCTCAATGTATGAAAAGAGGACGTTTTTCGTGGACGGATGAAGCAACCACGACTTTTGAACTTCTGAAACTTATGGTAACACAGGCTCCTGTTTTATCTTTACTTAATATTAGTGAAGTTTTTCAGGTTGAATGTGATGCCTCGGGTGTTGGTATTGGTGGCGTTTTGAGCCAGAATTCACGGCCCATAGCCTTCTTTAGCGAGAAGCTTAGTGATACTCGTCGCAAATACTCCACCTATGATAAAGAATTTTATGCGATCGTACGAAGTTTGGATACTTGGCGACACTATTTATTACCTTCTGAGTTTTTTTTGTTTTCAGATCACGAGGCTTTGAAATACATCAAGGGCCAACACAAGCTTAATCCACGGCATGCCAAGTGGGTCGAATTGCTCCAAGCTTTTTCCTTTGTGATCAAACACAAAGCAGGAGCACAGAATAAAGTTGCTGACGCACTTAGTCGACGACATTCGTTGGTTACTACCATGCAGGTACGCGTTCAAGGTTTTGATACCTTCCGAGACCTGTATAGAGATGATCCTACTTTTAAGGATGTGTGGCGTGAATGTACCAAGAAACCATTCTAGCAGTTTTCAATGCATAACAATTATTTATTTAGAGGGGCTCGATTATGTATTCCTCTTAGTTCCCTACGTGATGACATTATATTAGAAAGCCACGCAGGTGGTTTCGCGGGTATTTTGGTCGTGATAAGACCTTGGCTCTCATTCATGATTAGTTTTATTGGCCTCGCATGGAGAGGGATGTTAACCATATTGTGGAGAGGTGTCGGATATGTCATATCGGGGCAGTAATGCAGGTTTGTATACCCAATTATCAGTTCCCAACGCCCCCTGGGAAGATATTACTCTTGATTTTGTATTGGGATTACCTCGTACCCAACGTCATAAGGATTCTGTGATAGTCGTGGTTGATTGGTTTTCTAAAATGGCCCATTTTGTTACGTGCTCCAAGACGCTTGATGCGAGTCAAGTTGCTAAGTTATGTTTTTCTGAGATTGTTAAATTTCATGGTATTCCTAAAACACTCACTTCTGACCGTGATGTGAAGTTTGTTAGTCACTTTTGGCGTACTTTATGGACACGGATGGGTTCTAATCTGCAATTCAGTAGCTCTCATCATCCGCAGACCGACGGACAGACCGATGTCACTAATCGAAGTTTGGGTAATCTCCTACGAAGCTTATGTGGTGACAGCCCAAAACAGTGAGATCTTACTCTTCCACAAGTTGAGTTTGCATTTAACAGGTCAGTTAATCGTACGACGGATAAGAGTCCCTTTGTGGTTGGGTACGGTTTCAACCCTATCACACCCCTTGATTTGGCACCTATTTGTGTGACTGAACCAACTAACGGGGAGGCTGAACAGCAGGCCACGAGTATTCAACAGTTACATCAGCAAGTTCGCGAACAGATTCTTCATCACAACAAACAATATGCTGATCGAACTAATAAACATCGCAAGCGTGTTATATATAAAGAAGGCGATCTGGTGTGGATTCATTTGCATAAAGAGAGGTTTCCAGCTGGTCGTTTTGGGAAATTAAAGCGACGGTCCTTTCGCATGCTCAAGAAAGTAATGAAAAAGCTTACAAAATCGAGCTGCCTGGTCACTATAATGTTTCTGCTACTTTTAACGTGGCTGACTTATCACCTTAAAAAGGTGTGGGTGACAACTATCCAGACTCGAGGTCGAGTCTTTCCAAAGAAGGGGAGGATGATGCAGTTAATGACACCAACGACATTGTTTAGGGGTCGAACACGGCCTTTTTCTATTTTATAAGTCTTATTTTGAACTTTGGGATTTGTTTCCTTTTTGATGATTGCTGAGTTTTTCTTTCCTTTTAGGTGGTTAGACTTATAATCGGTGTTTAGGGTTTTCAGAAAACAGGGTTTTTTTGATAGATATTTTTTTTTTTATTATTCTGATCAGCTAAAGGCGATTTTCCCAGATAGGGGAGTCGGTTATTATTTGTTCTTTCTTATTGTTTGGCCATCGATCCGGCACCAGTAATTCTTGAACTAGTGGTACTCACCTCACACCAAGTAATTCTTTGTCCAGCTATATCTGAAAAACAAAATCCAACAATTACAAAGTAAACAATCTACTATAAGGAACAAAGTTAGCAAACAGGAAAAAATAAGAAATGGATTGAGCCAATTTGTGTGTAATCAGATGAAAAAAAGCCGTTTTTTTGTTTAATTCCTTCTTTCAAACTTTTAGGGTTCATGAAGAGGAGATGTGAAGATGGGGTCGTGTAACAGGAGGACTTATGGAGCAACGGGAAGTAGGTCATCCACCTATCTCCTCTTTATCAGGGTGGCGGAGATAACATGCTCTTCATTCTACCGATTTCAATTTCAGGATGACGATCATCTGTTGAACGCACAAACATAGTTAAAAAAAGGGTTAATTCGAACCAGAATATTAAAGGGTGAAATAGACAGATTTCATTTTTAGGGACATATATAATGCATGGATGAGAAAAAAACCACATTGTAGAAATCAAAATCAAACTTGGGAAAATAAAATGTCAAAAACTAAAATTTGTGAAATCAGAAAACAAACCTGGTATGTTGATTAAGTGAGTGAAAGGAGATGATGACGACGGTGAGGACGTTGGGCATGTCAGTTTGTGCTGTGATTTAGGGTTTCCTAGTTGGATTGATGATCCTCATTCTATCAGTTAACAGAGCTAAAATTATGTGGTTGTACAAGTACACATTTACCAACACTTGGACAGCTACCGTCCCTTGAGAGATTGTTTGTTGAAAGGATGGATGAGGTGAAGACTTTGGGTTTTGAGTTTCTTGCACCTGATGATTCTTTCCTTGGGATTTCATTTCCATCTCTTGAAGTTCTGAAGTTTATGATATGCGAGGTTCGGAGAGATGGTCAACTAATAATGGTCAAGACAATGAAACTGGTAGATGGTTTCCTCGTCTTCGTGAGATCTCTATAGCATACTGTGGGAGACTAGAAGAAGTATCAATTGGATTGATACCATCACTTCGGGTTTAAAGATAGAAGAATGTTCCGAAGAGGTGCTAAGAAGCATGGTTAGTGTGTCTTCATCACTTGTTGCATTGAGCCTTTCGAATGTTGAAGGACTTACTCAACTACATAGAGAAATTTTAATGCAGCTTCGGTCAGTTGAAAATCTCAACATTGAATATTGTCATGGACTTAGACACTTGTGGCCGGAGCAAGAATGGAAGACATGCAAGATTTTCCAAGTTTACAAACGTTGGAGGTAAGTCATTGTACAGAGTTGGTGTCATTAGGAGATAAAGAGATAATTAATATGGGGAGTATGAGTATCATGGAATCTATTAAAGAAGTGATGATTGTTCGAAATTTTGTAATGGAGAGTTACACTTGTCCACGTAGTGTTGAGAGGTTACGACTCTTTCAATGTAGTTCAATGACATCCTTCACCTTCTCAACATGGCAGGAGCACCCCCACCCCACTCCAGAGAAAGGTTTTGGTTTTCTTCAATTTTTTTGTCTAAGATATCTTCAGATTGGTGATTGCAAGAATCTAAAGTCGTTTCCTCATGAGCATTTGCAAAGTCTCACATCTTTGGAAGAACTGTTTATGCGAGATTGTCCAAGTTTGGATTACTCATTTCCTTGTGGGTTGTGGCCTCCTAATTTAAGTATCCTATCTATAGGTCGCCTAAATAAACCCATGTCAGAGTGGGGCCATCAGAATTTTCCAACCTCATTGGTTAAACTAAGCTTATATGGCCAAAATTCAGGAGTGGTTTCACTTGCAGTGGCAAAATATATGAGGAATACCACTGATTCATCATCTTTTCTTCTTCCACCATCTCTAGTTTCTCTAGAACTTGAAGGTTTTATGGAGATAGAATCACTTTCAGAGGTCTTACAACAGCTACCATGTCTTAAACATCTTGATACTTCATCATGCTCAAAGCTTAAAGATCTGCCTGAGACAACTTCTACCCTATAAAGGTGTGATAGTAAGAGAGGTATGTAATCTCCATGACCATCACTATCTCTTACGAAAGTACTAAAAGTATAATGACAAATATTTATTTATATAATTATAATTATTTTTTTTAACAAATATCAAGAGGGTTCTACAACTGAACTGTATTCCACTTTAAATTTTAAAGGTATTTTTATACTGAATCCGTTGGTATTCTGCTTCTGTTCTATAGTTACATGTCCTTTTATTGAACAAGCAACATAAGTTTTGAGAAACTTTGATCAGTTGTGTATGGTACGTCTATTTATAAATAATCTGTGAAAACACCTGGTATCTTTTTAGCTTTAATCTATGAAACATTTTTGCATAAAAATTCATAACCATAAGCTTGGCTAGCATATCAAATCTGTTTGACTTTTTACATCTAATTTCAGGCCATGTCATATTGGAGAAAAACCCTTAGTGCTGATTATCAACTTCTATTCCGATTAATCAATGGTTTCATAGTTGTTGCATTTGCTTCTACTCTAATCACATTGGTTTCATTTCCACACATGACAAATACTTCTGGTTAGTATTTTTGTCTTTACTGTATTTACAAAATTACCGCTCAGTGGAATTTTCTACTTGTTGCTGACATGGCAGGTTTATTTACTTTTTAATTTGTTCCAACATTTTCAAAATACTACTTAATGAGACTCACGAAGAAGTTGTCTATGTTGATCGGGGAGAAGCATTAGTCATTCAACGAGTTTTAAATGTTGTAGTTTCTCAATCCATTGATGATAATTCCTGGCTCCGCAACAACATTTTCCGCACTAAGTGCACTTTCAAAGGTAAAGTGTGTAATATGATTATCGATGGGGGTAGTTGTGAGAACATGATTTCACTTGAAATGGTTGACAAGTTAGGCTTGAAAACGGAAGCTCATCCCGAACCGTATCAACTAACTTGGTTAAAAAAAGGGAATGTTTTCAAAGTTAGTAAGCGGTGTTGGGTACAGTTTTCTATCTGAAAAAAATATACTGATGAGGTTTGGTGTGAGGTCATTCCGATGGACGCATGCCACATCCTTTTGGGCAGGCCATGGCAATTCGACCGGAAGACAAAACACGACGGATTCCGTAATACATATAGCTTCCAGAAAGATGGCGTGAATATCATGTTAGTTCCACTTGATACCAGAAAATCCCAAGAAAATAATTTTGCCCTTTATCTTAAACAGTCCGAGTTTGAAGAAGTGGCTAAATTCAGCCCGGTTGTGTTCGTTTTAGTAGTCGAGGAGGCAAACGAGTTTGCACCACCGGTACCCGTTCATGTTCAACCCTTATTGAGCGAATTTTCTGATGTTATAACGGATGATATTCCACCTGGAATTACCTATGGTGCGGGATATTCAGCATTACATCGACTTTATTCCAGGTTCAACAATCCCTAACAAGCCCGCATATCGAATGAATCCTCGGGAGTATGAGGAATTGCATAGGCGGGTGACGAATTATTGGACAAAGGGCTCATCAGAGAAAGTATGACCCCGTGTGCAGTACCTGCGTTATTGGTTCCTAAGCATGGCGGCACATTTCGTATGTACATTGATAGTCGAGCTGTTAACAAGATCACTATCAAGTACCGATTTCCTATTCCACATTTTGATGACTTACTTGATCAATTATATGGCGCAGTAGTTTTCTCGAAAATTGACTTAAGAAGTGGGTATCATGAGATTCTGGATGAGACCTGGGGACGAGTGGAAAACTGCATTCAAGACACGAGACGGACTGTACGAGTGGATGGTCATGCCTTTCGGCCTCTCTAATGCGCCGAGTACATTCATGAGACTCATGAATCATATTTTTAAACCTTATATTGGTCATTTTGTCGTTGTGTACTTTGATGATATTTTGGTCTTTAGCAAAACTATGGAGCAACACTTATCTCACCTTTGTCAAGTTTTTTTCTGTCCTGCGTGAACATAAATTATATGCTAATGGTAAGAAGTGTCATTTTCTTGTTCATGAAGTGACTTTCTTAGGATATAATGTTTCTAGTAATGGGATCAAGATGGATGATTCTAAGATCGACACTATTATTAACTGGCCAACCCCCACTATGATTCATGTGATCCGAATTTTTCATGGGTTGGCTTCCTTTTAGCGTCGTTTCATCAAGTATTTTAGCACTATCATAGCTCCTGTCACCGAATATATGAAAAGAGGACGTTTTTCGTGGACGGATGAAGCAACCACGGCTTTTGAACTTCTGAAACTTATGGTAACACAGGCTCCTGTTTTATTTTTACTTAATATTAGTGAAGTTTTTCAGGTTGAATGTGATGCCTCGGGTGTTGGTATTGGTGGCGTTTTGAGCCAGAATTCACGGCCCATAGCCTTCTTTAGCGAGAAGCTTAGTGATACTCGTCGCAAATAGTCCACATATGATAAAGAATTTTATGCGATCGTACGAAGTTTGGATACTTGGCGACACTATTTATTACCTTCTGAGTTTGTTTTGTTTTCAGATCACGAGGCTTTGAAATACATCAAGGGCCAACACAAGCTTAATCCACGGCATGCCAAGTGGGTCGAATTGCTCCAAGCTTTTTTCCTTTGTGATCAAACACAAAGCAGGAGCACAGAATAAAGTTGCTGATGCACTTAGTCGACGACATTCGTTGGTTACTACTATGCAGGTACGTGTTCAAGGTTTTGATACCTTCCGAGACCTGTATAGAGATGATCCTACTTTTAAGGATGTGTGGCGTAAATGTACCAAGAAACCATTCTAGCAGTTTTCAATGCATAACAGTTATTTATTTAGAGGGGCTCGATTATGTATTCCTCTTAGTTCCCTACGTGATGACATTATATTAGAAAGCCACGCAGGTGGTTTCGCGGGTCATTTTGGTCGTGATAAGACCTTGGCTCTCATTCATGATCAGTTTTGTTGGCCTCGCATGGAGAGGGATGTTAACCATATTGTGGAGAGGTGTCGGATATGTCATATCGGGGCAGTAATGCAGGTTTGTATACCCAATTATCAGTTCCCAACGCCCCCTGGGAAGATATTACTCTTGATTTTGTATTGGGATTACCTCGTACCCAACGTCATAAGGATTCTGTGATGGTCGTGGTTGATTGGTTTTCTAAAATGGCCCATTTTGTTCCGTGCTCCAAGACGCTTGATGCGAGTCAAGTTGCTAAGTTATGTTTTTCTGAGATTGTTAAATTTCATGGTATTCCTAAAACACTCACTTCTGACCGTGATGTGAAGTTTGTTAGTCACTTTTGGCGTACTTTATGGACACGGATGGGTTCTAAGCTGCAATTCAGTAGTTCTCATCATCCGCAGACCGACGGACAGACCGATGTCACTAATCGAAGTTTGGGTAATCTCCTACGAAGCTTATGTGGTGACAGCCCAAAACAGTGGGATCTTACTCTTCCACAAGTTGAGTTTGCATTTAACAGGTCAGTTAATCGTACGACGGATAAGAGTCCCTTTGAGGTTGGGTACGGTTGCAACCCTATCACACCCCTTGATTTGGCACCTATTTGTGTGACTGAACCAACTAACGGGGAGGCTGAACAGCAGGCCACGAGTATTCAACAGTTACATCAGCAAGTTCGCGAACAGATTCTTCATCACAACAAACAATATGCTGATCGAACTAATAAACATCGCAAGCGTGTTATATATAAAGAAGGCGATCTGGTGTGGATTCATTTGCATAAAGAGAGGTTTCCAGCCGGTCGTTTTGGGAAATTAAAGCGACGGTCCTTTTCGCATGCTCAAGAAAGTTAATGAAAAAGCTTACAAAATCGAGCTGCCTGGTGACTATAATGTTTCTGCTACTTTTAACGTGGCTGACTTATCACCTTAAAAAGGTGTGGGTGACAACTATCCAGACTCGAGGTCGAGTCTTTCCAAAGAAGGGGAGGATGATGCAGTTAATGACACCAACGACATTGTTTAGGGGTCGAACACGGCCTTTTTCTATTTTATAAGTCTTATTTTGAACTTTGGGATTTGTTTTCCTTTTTGGTGATTGCTGAGTTTTCTTTCCTTTTAGGTGGTTAGACTTATAATCGGTGTTTAGGGTTTTCAGAAAACATGGTTTTTTTGATAGATATTTTTTTTTTGATTATTCTGATCAGCTAAAGGCGATTTTCCCAGATAGGGGAGTCGGTTATTATTTGTTCTTTCTTATTGTTTGGCCATCGATCCGGCACCCGTAATTCTTGAACTTAGTGGTACTCACCTCACACCAAGTAATTCTTTGTCCAGCTATATCTGAAAAACAAAATCCAACAATTACAAAGTAAACAATCTACTATAAGGAACAAAGTTAGCAAACTGGAAAAAATAAGAAATGGATTGAGCCAATTTGTGTGTAATCAGATGAAAAAAAGCCTTTTTTTGTTTAATTCCTTCTTTCAAACTTTTAGGGTTCATGAAGAGGAGATGTGAAGATGGGGTCGTGTAACAGGAGGACTTATGGAGCAACGGGAAGTAGGTCATCCACCTATCTCCTCTTTTATCAGGGTGGCGGAGATAACATGCTCTTCATTCTACCGATTTCAATTTCAAGGATGACGATCATCTGTTGAACGCACAAACATAGTTAAAAAAAGGGTTAAATTCTGAACCAGAATATTAAAGGGTGAAATAGACAGATTTCATTTTTAGGGACATATATAATGCATGGATGAGAAAAAGACCACATTGTAGAAATCAAAATCAAACTTGGGAAAATAAAATGTCAAAAACTAAAATTTGTGAAATCAGAAAACAAACATGGTATGTTGATTAAGTGAGTGAAAGGAGATGGTGACGACGGTGAGGACGTTGGGCATGTCAGTTTGTGCTGTGATTTAGTGTTTCCTAGTTGGATTGATGATCCTTCATTCTATCAGTTAACAGAGCTAAAATTATGTGGTTGTACAAGTACACATTTACCAACACTTGGACAGCTACCGTCCCTTGAGAGATTGTTTGTTGAAAGGATGGATGAGGTGAAGACT